AATGAATTAGAACATATATTTATTATTTTGTGAATGAATGGACTAACTAGTTTTAAAAAAATGCCGATTAGCCTCAGATAACAGATTCATAATTCTTATGAATGTGACAATAACATAAAGTATGTATGTATGTATTGGCTTGGATGTTGCCATGCTGTGTTGTTTCTTCTTCTTCTTAACATGCCATACACCAAAGTGCGTAGGCGACTATCTCATTACTAGAATTCTGTTCTTGGCGGCGTGACACAGCTCACCTGTATTGTGTATTCCTGTCCATTCTTTAATATTCCTTAACCAGGATAATTTTTTGCGGCCGCCTCCTCTCCTACCTTCGATCTTCCCTTGTAGGATTAATTGTGGTATTTCATATTTTGCTCCTCTCAATATGTGCCCAAGGTAACCAATCTTGCGTTTTTTAATTAATTCAAAGAGTTCTCTTTCCACGCCGGCTCTATTAAGGACGTCATCGTTTCGAACTCTATCCACCCAAGGTATGCACATCATTCTTCTCAATGACCACATTTCAAATGCTTCAAGTTTGTTGATAGATGTTTTTTTCAAAGTCCAAGTTTCCATGCCATAAAGCAAGATGGACCATATGTAGCACTTGACCATTCTGTAGCGTATTTCGAAGTTTAGGTGTTGATTACATAGGAGCGGTCTGAATTTCACAAAAGCTTGTCTTTCCATTTGTATTCGGGTTTTTATCTCGTGTTGTGGATCTGATTGGTCATTGATTGTGATGCCAAGGTATTTAAAAGTTTTCACGCGATTTATACGATTGTCACATATGCATATTATCGGGTTTTCTGGAGGGTTTCTGCTAATGTGTTGTTTCTTGTATTGTAATTTTGAAATAAAAATTTTAGTTGTAATTAAAATGATTGAGGCATTTACATAAAATATAATTTATGTAAAAATGAGAATGAAAATGTGTTATTTAATGTTCCTAGAAAATTCACTGATTTTTTTATAAAGGTTCTTTTAGAAATAACCTAATTATAAATACCTATGAGTTTAAATATACGTAAATATAAAAATAAATCATACTTGAACCATATTTATATTTAAAACGGTTAATAAAAAACAAATCTTAATTATTTTTTGCAAATAAAAACTAACTAACCAAATAAATTATTTTAACAATTTAAACCTAAACATACGATCGAAAGAATTAGTTCCGAACAACTTGTACGGTAGTGAACTAGTGAAAGACTGACTGAAAGAAAGAAATAGTTCCGAACTACTTGTACGGTAGTGAACTAGTGAAAGACTGACTGAAACCCGAAGTAAACGGGCGGCCAGCGCCGAGCTTGTGTAATGATTGAGACGAGACATCTGGCAACCAGTTCTGTTAGGGTTGGATTTAGATGTCGGTCCTACAAATAGTTCTTTAGCGAACTAGTTCGCTGAACTTGTTCATTTTTGTGAAATAGTTCTGTTGAACCAGTCTAAAAGAACTAATAAGCACACCTCTACTATCCAGGACATCCTAAACATGCGTCTATAGCACCACATCTCAAATGCTTTGAGTCTATTCAGTACTGTACTTACTGACACGTACTTAGGTACTTAAAATTACCAAAAAAAAGTAAATAGTTTTAAAACAGTTTTTAAAAGTAAGTAATAAAATGTTAGTATAAATAACAAGGTCAAAAAGACATGTGTTACAATCTGGCAACTGTTGGATTGAGGCTTCTGACTCTATTGCCAAATCTATCCGCTGACCTATCAAAATAAAAGGTGTACTTTCTTTCCTTGTATTGTAAAAGTAGTATTTTTACTCTTATAAAAGCAGCTTTCTCTCTTTATATTTGAAGCAAATCATTATCATTGGTGCTACACCCATATAAAAGAGCCTCGACCTTCCCAAGTCTATACGCCAGTCAGTTCTATCCATTGCCATCTGTTCCAGTTTGCTGCGCCTACTTTTCTACCATCCTCATCTACACCATCCCTCCACCTGAGTTTTGGCCTACCCCTACTTCTACTTCCCATAGGTTGTGACATAAAGATTCTTCAAGGAGAGTTGTTCTGCTATGATCTTGCCAGATGTCCTGCCCATTTTAGTCTTCCTATTTTTATAAGAGACACTACGTCTTTACCGCGTTACCTTATGTTTATATCTGTGATATATCTCGTAGTTGTATTATCCAACAAGCGAGAGCTGTCCAACAAGCGAGAGCTGGCGGGTTGCGCGTAGAACAAATTGAAAAGTGGAAGGGATTGCTCATTTCTATTGCAGTCGGCTAGGAGTTCACATCGTGTAATTAGTGCTAGATTTCTGACAGTGTTGTCAAGTATTTACATTTTTATGTGGAGTGACCCTATATTATAAACTATTATTTATATTTATTAAAATGACAAGTGTATTAAAAGGCAAACCTTTGGTATCTCAAGCACGAGAAATAATTTTCAATGTTTGTAAGTTTACAACCAGAAGTAAGCTAAATGTTTTAGTTGATTTAAAAAAGATACAAGAACGTGTAGCTCAATTAACTGGTAATTATAATACTCATTTTCAAAATAAATTCAGATTTAAAAATTTAATTTAAGTTACAATCAATAAAATTATAATCAATAAATAAATAAAAACTTACAGAACAAAAAAATAGCAGTAAATAATAAGTAAACAATGGATCAGTTAATTAGTACTTTACAGTTCACTATTATTGATAATACAACATGTTTATTTACTACAGATATGCTGGACACTTTAATTATACATTTGAATACGTTGCATTTTTCATAAATGGGAAACGAAATATGATATTGTAAGCAATAACATCACAATATAAAAAGCCTATAATACTTGAGTTTACCGTCTGGCTTAGAAAAATAAACAAAGAATGTGTGTTCTGTGTTGTGTTTAGTTTAGTATTAGTCCGCAATACATATAAAAATACCTTCCTTTCGAGAATTAATTACGTTTTATGAAAATAAATATTATTAACAAATTTTTTCTACGGTTTATTCAATATTATTATTATTTTTATTTTGTTTTCGTGGTAAATAAGTTTATCACACACGCAATGACACAACCACTAAACATATATGTTAACGTAATTTTCAGATCCCAACTAAATTTTTTATACGGCAACTACGCAACTACGACAGCATTAAAAGGGATCATATGTGGAATGCAATGGCAGAACTTTCAGTCCCAAAAAAACTTATCCAGCTCGTTATAGTTTGTGTAAATGGCTGTAGATCTAGAGTGCGGATAGGTAACAAGCTCTCAGAGTCGTTTGAAATAAACAGTGGACGGAAACAAGGAGACGCGCTGTCACCTCTTCTTTTTAATATAATCCTGGAAAAAGTAGCAAGAACCGCACAAATTAGAACAGAACTACTGACAGTAAATGGACCAAAATTACTACTAGCATACGCGGATGACATTGACATTGTAGGAAATACCGTCACCAATGTAAAAGAAACCTTCAATAAATTAAAGAGAGAGGCAAAAAATACCGGTCTAAGGATCAATGAAGAGAAAACCAAATATATGTGCATTAACAGACAAAAGATACGAGATAGAATAGGACAAAATGTAACAATAGACCCCTATAACTTTGAAAGAGTGGAGAGTTTTAAATATCTCGGAGCGACTATCACCACAGATAACGATATCACGGAAGAGATAAAAGGGAGAATTCAGGCAGCAAACAGATGTATGTATAGCCTCCACAACACTATTAAATCCAAGAGCCTAACACGAACATCAAAAATCAGGATATATAAAACAGTAATTAGACCGGTGCTCATGTCTGGGTGTGAGACGTGGACGCTGACAAAAGCAATGGAAAGTAAACTCAGATGCTTTGAGAGAAAAATCCTCAGAAAGATCTTCGGTCCCTATCACGATCCGAATACTAACCAATACCGAATGAGATCAAATGCCGAGGTCAAACAAATGTATAGTGCTAGCGACGTAGTCCAAGAGATTAAATCCCAACGTCTAAGATGGGCTGGCCATATTCATAGGCTCCCTAATAACCGCCTTACCAAGTTAATCTGGGAAGAAGTCCCGACAGGGAGAAGGCCCTTAGGACGTCCACTAATGCGATGGAGAGATAATATATGGTCAGATTTGAGAACAATGGGGCTAACCCACTGACTTAAACATCATGGACGACCGTTCGAGATGGAAGCAGGTTGTGCAGTCAGCCAATACCCACCCCGGGTTGTAGTGCTACCAGAAGAAGAAGAACTACGCATTTGTGACACCCGCGATTAAGTACCTCTCCCATCTCTCTTAGAATAATTCCTTTTCTATTTTCGCGCAGCTCACCCGCCAGCTCTCACTTGTCGGATAATACCTCCTTCTCCAAACACCATTTTCACAGATGCCACCGAATATTCTTCTCAGTATCCTTCGTTTAAATATAAGCAGAGGTTTTCATCTGTCTTGGAAATTATTCATGTCTCCGATCCATATGTCAACACTGGTTGCAAATAACTCTGTATTTTATTCAACATAGGCAATCGCAACACAATTTGTTTCATTTATAAAAAAACAACAGCAAGTTCTGTATTCCTCCCCATGTCATCTTGCAGGTGTCTCTCTCTCTCTATATATATAATCTTTCATTTGGGATGCTTTCCCGACTTTATTTTCTCACTGTATTGTCTTAATAAGTAATTCACCATTCAATTTTCTCACTTTCTACACTCTTTCGCGATTTGATTGGACCGCACTATCAATATTCTATTTTTGTTTATAATTTCATTTACTTTCTTTGACAGACTCTGAACTTCTAATACTTTTCCGTATTTTAATTCGTCTTAAAATTTTTAACAGAGCATCTTGCTTTCATTCTACTTTTTTATACAGGCTTCGGACCGGCAAGAATGCTTATTAAGCTACTGAATCCACCCAACGGCCATTGCAGGTAAACTTTGCAAGTTTTATTTAAAATATTTATGTCAGGACAAGTTCTAGAAGATTATATGTAAAGTTTAAGGAGTCAAGTTATGTGACATACAGTAATAAACATACATAATTTTAAAAAATTCAAATTTATTTCTCATACATAAAAATATTTTAACAATAGTTAATAGTTTCTAAACAACTGCTCTACATATGTGACTAATTCTGTAACATGGACCTGTTCCTGAAAAAAAAAACAACATAAATTTATTATAAAAGAAACATATACAATTCATAAGTCCTCTGAGTGGGGGATTTAGGAATGGAGTTCGTGACCACGACGACCATATTACAAATTTCAATACATGCTTCAGTTTAAATAATGATAGAAAGTTTGTATACAGGTTAAATTCTAGCATTAGGCAGATTTTTTGTTTAATAATTAATAACAATAATAATATTAATTCGTACTAGAATTCAAATTACTGGATGACTGATGCAAAATAGTCTCCTGCAAAGTGAGAGTATGTGACTTGACTTGACAAACGCCACGTTGGATTTTCCACTTGTTGACGGCTAACAGCCGCCATGTTGACAACTACTTACAGCTGACATGTTGTATTGAACACGTGACGTTAATGGTCCAATAGGAACGCGGCGGCCACGTTGGAAGGGGTGTGGCTTACAAATCATCTGCACACATTCCACATCCGGCGGTAATTATCAAAGGATGCCGACAAAAGAAAGTTTGCCATGCCCAACCGCTCCAAACTCTGCTCGGAATGCCTTGTGAGATGTCAAATGAAAAAAGTTCATTTGGTCTGTTTCCTTTTAACCTCAAACGTTAATCCTGTTAGTCCGATTTGTCACAACAGAGCTAAAGATAGACTATATTTGTCAGTAATGCTCGACAATATTTCTATAAAATCCACCAGCTCTACCTATCAACTTCCAGTGTTGCTGGAACAATTACTTGTTTCAAACAATGTTGAACAACTGCTTGTAAGCAACAATTCTAAAGTATTTTCGTAAGTGATAAAACGCTGCATGAGTAGCTGAAGTAAATGCCCTATAAAAATCGAAACTTATGCGATTTCTGGATTACATTTTATTTTTAAACTAATTTGGAAAAAGCCTGCCCTATCAAAAGAAACCTTGCCAGGAGCCCATAGATCTAAAGGGTTGGTTATAAATCTAGACAATTTCTGATGTAAAACGATGTTCACTTTATCCCTACACATGATTTCCAAATGTAATTTTCCAACATAACTAATATTTTTATGAACATATGTGTATTATATAAATTAAATAACCTTACCTTAAGTGTTGTATCACGACTTCTTAGATTAGCTATACCATCATTTAGGGTTCTTTCATTTAGAACAACTGTATATGGGATTCCCAACTGATCATATTGCTTGTACTGAGCTTCTAAAGTATTTCTAGAAGAACTTGGAAGATACAAAGTTGAAACATGGTTTGCTCGAAGTTGTTTGCAAAGATATAATGCTAAATCTTCAAGTTCCTTTGTAATGGCTTGCGCTAAAAAAATAAATACACTGTAATCTTCATTAATTTAATATTTCAAGAAAGAGTATAATTATGGAGAGCCACTGATAACAATAGCAATATAGTGAAGTTAGGAACTATGAAATGGATTTAAGAAATTATAATGTGTACATTTTTGCACCATTTGTCACTGAATGGGGGATGAATTATTAATATTAATATATTTCATTATTTCAGATTTCTCTACTATCGTGAAAAAACAGCAACGCTGTGAGAAATTGACAACATCAAATTTTATGACGTCAACAATATTTTCATGACAATCGTGACAAAAGGCAATGATTTGACCTGGTATCCTTTTTCTTTGGCCTTAAAGTCAGAAGCTTGGAAATTCTAACACTTATGCAATAACACTGTCTCCTTCTAGAGTGGCACACTGATTACAAGACATCTCTAACAATTTGCCTCCATTTTTTGGAGTAAGACTTGTCCTTGGCCTAGAAATATTCATTAGTTTCCATAATTATCTTCCTATTTGAACCAAATCTTCCAAGAGGAAATCAAAGAAGAATGGCAAATTGTGTACTTTTTTTCTGTTAGGTTACTTACATGAAAACTAATAGAAAAATATTTCGCTTTGATAATCCAAAGAAGAAATACTTCAATAATAAAAATAAACAGAATATTAATGAATAAGTTTATATAGGGTGACAATTGGAAAAATTCCCACCATTAACATCTTTGTTCACATAAATATAAAAAATTAGAAAAACATGTTGATTTTATATTCAATGGCCTGACTTTTAGAGAATATTTTTATCCTAGGGCTACAGCATCGTTGGTTGAATATATAAACTCATATATACCAAATAATATAATATGTATATACAAATCTAAAAAAAACTGATAATACTTACAACTACCTGTCATTGCGAAACTAAGTTTGAATGGGGCTAGCTTTCTATGAAAATGAAACATTGGTCTAACGTTATCCTGAAAGACTGGTTCTTGATAAGCATCACAAATGGCATTTAAAAATATCGTAGGTAAATTTATTTGGCTCGTAATTGTATGAGCTGTCACAAATTTTCGTTCTTTAAACTAAAATAAATGGTATACATTAATGTATCTTAGTATAATATACAGAATTCTTGGTATAAAATATTTAACTGTACTATAGTTTTTAACATATAAATAAAAAAAGTTATAGGCAGTAAAAAGATGAAGAAGCAGATACAATATTATAGCAGATAATTGCACAGTTAAGTTGTTTTGACATACAGGTTATTACAAAATAATTCATAATTTTGTACTCACTGCTTCAAATGAAAATTAGACCCTACTCACCTCTAGTTGCTGATTGGTAAAATTTTTATCTTCTTTGTTAAGAGTGGGGGGGGGGGGGGGGGAGGGAGTGGTGGGGGGGGGATGGCCGGGGAAGTAAGGGGCGGGGTGTTTTGGGGGGGGGCAGGCGCTGGGGGGGGGGGCAAGTAAATATTTTTGGCAGGCATATCTACAGTTTGTACTGAGTTTTCTTCGACATTTTTATATCACTGCTTCAAGGTAACGACCAACGGGTCAACCAGGAGCAAGAAAACAATACAATGTGGAATAACAGGAAGTGCTCATCACTCCTGATTCGATACCGACACAACCCAACACGCCGCCTCTCCGCACACCACCAGAAAAAGATGCCTCCAAACCCCCCTCCCAAAAAAACTTTTCCCCCTTCCTCCAGACCCCCAACCATCAGCCCCATTGGCCAGCAACCAGGCCCCAAACCCACCCCCCATCCCATCGCCCCGCAATGTCAATGTCAATACCAACCCCCCTGTCCTCACCCCATCCTCCACTCATTAGTGCCAGAACTTACCCCTTAGTACAGCTGCCTACCCCCCGTCCCAAGAACCACCACAGGTTCTCTCACAGCCACACAATCCACCCCCCACGTTACTTCACTCTTCGCATGCCACTATAGTCCACCTAACTTAATCGTCCATTCTATCTCAGTTCCCCTGGCCCACATTTAACCCCGCCAGACCCACACCAGCCCGTAACCAATCACTCCACCCGAGACAACCCCTCCCCCTCAGCCCTTACCCGATCCACCCTCACAAGTGTCCCCCATCGTCCTACCCATGCATGATCAGCAACAGTGTCTCACCCTTCCCCACACCCCATGTAGCCCACCCAACACCCAACGCCCAAAAGAATTTGGTAAACCTTGCTATTCCCAACCAAATTGTACAACTCGTCATCCCCAGTCATACACCCCCCCGCAGGCCGCCCCGCCCAAAAACCCTCCTCTGACATACCCCAAACCATCACCCCTTATCCAACCGGTGCCTCCCCCTCGCCAATTTTTTCCCCCCACCCACCCCCCTTACCACTCCCCCACCCCCCCCCATAGTTCCCAACCCCCAAATAATTCAGCGACAATCCCCACTAACATTTATCACTACATAAATACCGGCGATCGTGATGCCCTATGGACCGATAATACTGACAAACAGAATTAACGTACAGACATCAAAACACAATGTGACAGCAATTGTTGAAAACTCAAAAGGAACTAAATATAATGGTGTACAATTACGATTACTTACAGACGAAATTAAATACAATGACTTCTTTTATTTTTAACTTATTTATTAGTTTTATTTTCGGATATTTCTACGTTTTGTTACTGCCAACATATACAGTGTGGTTTGTAAAAGTCCTTAGACCCTTAACTTTTAAATGGAACAATATATAAATAAAATGTTTCTTTATATTTTAATTTTATTTTATTTGATTTTATCTAAATCTATAAACAAATGGTTTGTATCACTAGCACATACTGTAGAATTAAAAACAAACTGCTTGTGTGACATAAATAAAAGGCATTTCTTAATTTTTATTTTATTTTAATTAAACCCAAGTATATTGTAGCAAATATTATTTATATTTGAGAACTCCTGACAGAAGGAGCCAGGTAGGGTCGTTATTGGGCATTAGTACTTAAGCTACCCTCAACACAAAAGATGTGAAGTTTATTTTAATACAAGTTTGCAAAGAAGTATGGCGTCAATGTTGTGCATTTACCCTGTACAGACTAGTCACTTTGAGACAATCTATAGATAGGATATCAAATTAAATAACCATTCTCATTAAAATCTTATACTTACTTTCCTAAACCATATCCTTCTTTGCTTCTGCCAATGGTGGAACATTCTGGTAGAATCAGTTGGTGATACAAATATAGTAAACTTTAGAAACACATCCTCTTCATGCCTAAGTAGATTTTCAAAACTTACCCTCTCTCCTTTGGTTGCATTTTTGTAATATTCAACAATTTCATCAGTTGTAAAAGATTTCTTTTGTCTTTTGACATCTGTGATACCAAATGGTAATTTATTTGAACAAAGAATTTTGACAAAGTCGTATGTATTATCAATATCACCCTCATTGGGACATACTGTAAGTTCTTTATTTATCAGAGTGTGATACAACCATTCTGTGTTTATATTTTGGCATAAGAGTAGTCCCAACGGGCCAATTTTGAACTGGTCAATGTTATATTTAGGTAAAACAGTCTTTTTTAAGAAACCACTATTTGTTGCAAAGTCAAGAGTCCTTTTTAACATCTTTTGTGTCATAAAGTAAGTTTTCCCTGGATTCTAAAGGTATATTTCCTGGTGGTGCTACAAAATACTCGTCTTCAACTAAAACTGCTCCTTTTAATACAGCTTCTCTACAGTTCCCATCAGTTACGATATCTTCTCTTACTTGTAATGGTCTGAAAATAAATTTGAAAATACAGATAACTAGACTTCAGATATTTATGCATTATAATAATAACATCTTTCTAAAAAAATACCTAATTAATATTCAACATTCATTAAAGTGAGGTGCATTGTTTAAGGTGTGAAATTCCATAAAAAAGAAATCATTTCATAAAACAGGTAGATCTCTTATTTATGGAAATTCACACTCCAAACAATAGCACCTCATTGAGCTGAATATGAATAAGTATCTTAGAAAGATGGTAGTACTATAAAGCATAATTATTCTAACCCTACAGGTAACACAATAGCAATAATAATTAATTATATATGCCATTTTTATTTCAAATGCTTCAATTCGACAATATACCTATCAGTTTCTTCAATTCCTTATCCTTCTCTTCAACCTAAGTGTACCTAAGATAAGTTGACCTAAACATCTCTATTTGCTGATGTTTCCATTATTTGTAGGTTTGCCTTCTGCTAAACAATTGTGATTTTGTCAGATTTTTCTTTTTACTGTTTTCTCTGGTATTTGCATGCCACAATCAGTGTTGTTTTAATGTTTTTCAATAACACAGAACTATTATTCTAAGAGTAATTTGAAAAGATACCGGTTTTGGTCTGCATTGTTTATTATGGTATTATCTCCATATCTATAATCAGTCATCCTATTCCAAAACGTTTCATCTTTTTTCTTGTTTTATAATATAGCAGTAAATTTTATCAAAACAAATGAATATTACAACTTTGATATTTTAATATCTAAGGAGAATTTATAATATTTACTAATAATCAGTACACTTACAAATCCTCTAATGGAGTAATGAGTGGTTCCACATTTGATGTATCAACTTGTAGGATTTGATCTGCAAACTCTAATTGGGCTTCAACGGTTTCAATTGCTTTTTTGCTTTCGCAATCGACTAGGGATAATCTTTCGAGTAAAGCTATGGTATTAGCATCAATTTTAGTCTTCGGTGGTAACTTTGTCAAATCGATCTTTGATTTTATTCTTTTTGCGGGAATAATTCGTTTAATTTCTTTTGTCACTACTTTAGGTTGTTCTACTACCGTACAAAAATACCTAATTTTATTTAAAGTAAGATAAACGAGCCTATTCATTATATTTTTTGTTTAAATTGGAGAAAACTTTCAAAACAGGGGCATCTTTGTTTTTAAAAATCTTTTAATTTGGTTATGTTTTTCTTCTTTTTTAAAATATTGAAATTAAGTAAGAATCAACAGCCAACAAAAAATTGAAAAATATTATTAATTTTAACATTTTATTCATAATTCATAAAAACTGCAACAAAAGAAACATTTATTGTCGGTTGGCATGTTATATTAATCTCTATACTATATAAATATCTTTGCTCTTTATACTGCTCTCTTACATATCTCGATACTGCCCTAAATCGATTGACAGAATTTGGCAACTTACAATACAGAGTAAAATTTAAGTAAATTTTTAGTAGAGGCGCTCCACAGTTTTTAATTCCCACGACTCATTGATTATTAGTTCCCAAGTAATTGTATTTTGTGAGACACGTTCAATTCTCATTTGGTTCACATACTGAGTTCACATTTAGAACACAAAATTAATATGTTTCCTTCTAAAACATGGCGAGTGCTGACAAACTTCAAAGCCGTCATCTGAGAGTGGGCATTCTGGTTGTTTATTATTCTGTGATACTTGATACCTCGCCAAAAAATGCCTCGATTCAGCTGGTACTGGGTAAGTAAATATTTTAATTTTAAACAATTCAACAACACAACAAATAAAAGATTGAAAGTTGAACCTTAGACTTTAGACCTATTTACCATTTCTCTACTTGATTTAAATTGATCAGTTGGAGCCGGACAAGTTAAAAACCATTACTCGTTTTAATTTTTATAAGGACTTATTAAATTAAAGGAATTATGATTAATTCTGGGTAAGTAGAACAATTAATATGTAGGTTAGGAGTAGAAATTTAAAGTATTCTGTAAACTTGGCATTTTTGAGTGGATAGTTAATAAGTATTTAAGTAATAAAATTCTTTTAGTTTAGTTTTGTTATTTTTTAGTCGAAAATAGTATATTTCACTGTATATTTGTGGCATATAGTTAATTGTAGAATTGGGTTATTAGACATTATTTATCCTCCTATTAAATAGTCTCTTGACCAAGTTTTATATTAGTATATCCTTGTTCCAAGTTCTAAATTTGTCAAGAAACTATACCAGAAAGCCTTAAAAATTTTTAAATCTAAATTATTTTATTAATTTTCAACAGAAAGCTATGACCTAAATTTCAGAGACCTACTTAATTTTATATTGCATTACAATTACTATTTTATACAATTTCTTCATTTTCTTTCATTAGCCTCTACTTTTGTTTTGCTATAGTTTAATATATTTCAAAGGCAATGAGGATATTACATTTTCAAAATAATTTAAAGATCACCATTATATGTATTTCTGCTTCTCATATGATTTCGTCCAAAGTTCACATATTTTAAGAATTTATACACATGGTCCTAAATTTTGCAAGCCACAGAACACACTGAGCTAAATTTTTCCCAAAAAAAATTGGTTTTGAATATCATTTTTTTCATACCCTCATACAATAAAGTGTATTAATTTTATTGTTAGTCTTTAGACAGTTTGTGTTTTTGTATAGTGAGTTGCACTATTCATTTTTCTTCATGGCGGTTTGAGTCAAAATGTTCTACATTTATTTGTTAAACAATTCAGTTTTATATTTACGGTAGACTCCCTCTTAACTGGCCACCTAGGGACCAGAACCTGGCCGGTTGACCAAATGGTCGGTTAATCCTTGTTTAAAAAAAAAAGCAGTAACTTTCTTCTGTTTCTTAACATTAAGTGAATTTTTTAAAGCTATATCTCTGTATTTTTTTAAAAACCAAGACATGTATTGAAGATGACCCGGGTTGTTCTTCAATATACTTCAATGCCCCAACTCCAGTGCAGCCCTTGCTTCGGTGTGGCCCACCTTCTCCTCTCCGTCCGCATCATCATCATCAGTCTCATAATTTTCATAGGGCTCTTCATTTGTTGCTAGTGAAATTATTTTGTTGTCTGTCAAAAATTTGTTTTCAAGTTCCTCGTCACAGTTTATCCATTCTTCTATATCTTTCGGCCTGCAATTGGACATTTCCGGATAACGTTTGGAGATCTTGAAGAATGGAATGGAAGAAAGATCTTCTTAGTGTGATTGTTGACACTCAACAAGTTCCTCAATGTTGGCCCAAAGTTTTCGCCAAGACTTAACGAAAGTAGAAGCAGAAATTTCTTGAAAGGCAGAAGCTAACATGTAAATTACATCCTTTAAGTTAATTTATTTGATGATATCAATAAGATTGAGGTCTTCATTTTCTGTGCATTGTAAAATTTCGGACAGTAATTTACGTCTGTATCATCTTTTCAAGCTTTCAATCATCCCTCGATCCATTGGTTGCACCAAGCTTGTAACATTAGGAGGAAGAAAGATTATTTTTATGTCTCGTATGTTAGGTTTCCAAGATGAGTTGGAGCATTATCCAGAACTAGGACTACTTTAGTGGGAAGATTTATGCTCTTAAAATGGCGCGTTATTCTCGGAACAAATTCAGGCTCAAACCATTCTTTGAATAGATCAGCGCTCATCCATGCTGATTTTTGTGATCTGTAGAATACAGGGAGGGACGAAGGATGTAAGTTTTTGCACGCAATTTAGCGGACTTACCAACAACAAAAAGAGGAATTTTATGTGTTCCTGCTGCATTTGAACAAATAGCAACTGCAATGTGGTCTTTATTCTTTTTAAATCCAGAAGCTGATTTTTCATGCATTTCCAAAAATGTTTTTCTGGAAGTATTTTAAAATTGTCAGACAACTCTCACTTGCAATAAATTCGCCTCCATCTATAATTTTGCTATGTATACATAAAGCCTTTTCCCTTAGAATCGGGACGCTAATAGGTGTGCCCCTCCGCCGTTCTTGAAGAATCCACAACCAAAGAGCTTCATCTACTATCTCGAATTTCGTTTTTTTAGTGCCTCTAGTTTTTAGATTTTCATCTGTTTACGCTTCTCACTCATTTTTGCACAAGATGGTTTTAATCCTCATCAAAAGCAAAAACAGAACTCACAACCGGGGGCGAGAAACGATCATCAAGCGGCGCTTGATAATCGTTTCGTACGCAAAACAATAGGAAGGGGGAGTGGCCGTGAATGCGGGACCGGTTAAGAGAGAGTCTACTGTATGTCCAATTACAGATGCCTTCATACTGAGCCAGCGAAAAAAATATATAATTAGAGGAGACTGTGAAATTACTTTTATATAAGTAAAAATTTATTAAAAATTTTTATACTTATACACTTTAATAAATATTATAAGGTTTTATTTATATTCATCTAACCCTAAACTTTTGTACCAATAGATAGTAGATTTTAGATAAATATGACGATATATGCCATGTGGCTATTAAATAATGAAATTGGCTTTGCTACAATAGAAGAAGGTACACATACACTAAATGCATTGATGACTATTTAGCACCAAGTCGTCTCTTATTCACAGTATGCAGTAACCCTCACTTCTGTAAATAAATCCATATAACCTTAGTAAAGTTGTAATGACAGAGTGAATCAATAAATTGTTGTTAAATTTCACATAAAGGTTGGAAAAACCTCAACTGTACTTGAATACATGTTTTAAGTATTTTCAAGAAAACTGATCAGACATTCAAGATGATCAAGTAATCTTTTATGTCAAAAGCAGATGACCAAAAAAATCAGTAATCTGGTTCCAACTGGTCTTCAATGGCCATACTTTAAACATGTAAAAACAATGCAATTTCCATGTGAAGCCTACACACCAAAAATGATTAAGGTCATTTTGTATATAAGTCAATTTTAAAGTTCAAAGACTAATTTTAAAATGGTTTAATATAAATTTTAAGTCAAACTGTTTTTCAATGAGTATACAGTGCGTTAAGTTTTTGATTAGGTATTGCACACTATACGGAGCGCTAAAATCGGCAACGTTGCAAATGTTCGTTCTCCGACCCGAGACTATCTGCACCGACAGAAAATCATTTTAGTTTAGTAACTCACAACAACGTTTGGGATGTACTTCTCTGTCGTCCGATCTCATGTTTCATTACGTATAGCCGATTTTAATAGTAGGAAATTCGATAAAAATGCACTGACCTAATCGGTGCATTGTTATCGATTTTTATTAATGTGAAAATTTTTTTGTGGTTGAATTAAAAATAAAAGCGTATTTCTTTAAAAAGATAAAATAAAAAATATACTCTTATTGAAAATTAAAATATTATTCCTAATAAAATAAAAAATAATTCTTTATGACCTACAGAAATGGTTCAAATAGTTGACCTTCTACGGCTGAACAGTACCCCAATCTGTCATAAAAACTTCTGCGAACAGATGAAAGAGTTTCTGCTGTAACAGAATTGGAGACTTCTCTTATTCGATTTTTTAATTCATCCAAATTTTGGGCTCTAGCCTCAGGATGATCGTAGATAATGCTTTTTAAATGTCCCCAAAAAAAGAAGTCCATGGGTGTAAGATCTGGAGATCGCGCAGGCCACTTAATATCGCCTGTTCCACTGATAACTCGATTCGGGAAAGTATTGTTTAAATACTCCCTAATAATTCGAGCGTTGTGAACTGAACAGCCGTCTTGATGAAACCAAACATTCTCCAGATTTACATCAGGAAGATTGAGAATAGCGGAAGAACATGATTCTGTAACAAATCGAGGTATACTCTACTATTCAAGTTGCCCTCAATAAAAAATGGACCTATTATGTGGTCTCCTAAAATGCCAGTCCAGACGTTAACTTTTTGAGGACGTTGAGTTCGGTAAACAACACTTCTGTGCTGGTTTTCCCGCGCCCAATACCTCGTAATGGAAGGATTGTGTCTCCCTACTAACGAAACAGAAGATTCATCAGTGAATAAAATGTTTTTAATAAAATTTGGTTCACTATTAGCCTTCGTTATTAGAGTTTCACAAAACTCCATTCTTCGAAAGTAATCGTCTGGATAAAGCTGCTGCGTTTTCGAATATTTAAAATTCTTGTAACCGTGCTTTTTCCATACTTTCGTTACAGTAACATTGCTAACATCTAACTCTCTAGCAACGCTTCTACTTGAACGTGTTGAATCTACCT